GGACAAGAGCAGACAAAATTGGAAAACTGTAACAGAATGCCTTTCTCCCCTGCTGGTAGTAAAGCGGGCAGAAGAAGCCTCAGGTTCAGAATTGGCCCTTTCATCACTTACGAGGAGAGAATAAGCACCAAGTCCTCGAGACTCTCTCGATGTATGGAGGATCTCCCTGCAGTTTTCTCTTTAAGCAAAGAGCAGCTATTCAGATTACAGATGAGAAAATTTATCTCTAAGTTGGGGATAGTGGCTCCCAACCTCACTTGAAAACATAGAATACTGTCTTGTACTATACAATATTGCATACTATTGAAACAGTTCAAATGTTAGCTGCTGGAGTTCTTACACAGTATAAAAGCACAAGGATATTATAAAACAAATTTGAATAATGAAACAATTAGAAAGATCAGTTACAGATGGCATTTGCTCCAAATGACACAGACATACTCTATGACAGACATATTTAGACAGTTTTGAAAATCATTTTTTAGACTTAGGGAGGCATCTTAAATGGAGAGAAACAGGCCTGAAACAACTTACTTTCTTCTTACTAAAAAATTATTTAAAAACTGGTGCTTTGTGAGATCTAAAATTCTGGAGTTAAACCGGAAAACATGGCTAGGAGTTTCTGGTTACACGGGTCAAATCATTAAAATGAGATTAAAGGAACAGCCCTGTTATTTTCTTCAGAGGATACAGAAAAGACAAAATAGTATTTGAAATGGGTGCATGTTTGTTATATTGCAGCATTTATAATAAGAAGATGTGCCTCGTGTCACTTAAAGACCATTTTTTAAAAGCTGCTCTCTTTACAGACTGATGGTTGCCAGGCGGGCGGGGGTGGGGAGCCGGGTGAAAAGGGTGAAGGGATTAAGTTAGAATTGGTAGTTACAGAGTAGTCATGGGGATGCAAAATACAGCACCGGGAATGTAGTCAATAGTATTTCGACAACAATGTATGGTGCCTGGTGGGTACTGGAAGCGACAGAGGGACACTTTGTGAAGTACATGATTATCTAACCACTATGCTGTACTCCTGAAACCAATACAAAATAACATTGGATGTAAACTGTAGCTGAAAAAAATTTTTAAAAGAATAGTAAGTAAATAAATAAAAATAAAGGCTGTTCTCTTTACAGTATAGTTGCTTCCTCTCAAGGAAATGCTAGGTCTAGACACTTTGAGGAAGTAACAAAGAGCCTTTGAGTTGGAGTGCTGCTTCCCTCTTCTGGAAACGTTAAGTCATGACCTGAGAACCAGACGGTGCCAAGGAATCCTAAATACTGCAGAAAAACCAGACCAGGATACTGCTCCACCGAGAGTAAAATAATCGTGAGTTGGTAGTTTCCAGAGGAAAAGACGGGTTGCACTGGTCATGAATGTTTCCCTGAAGTGAGAATAATGATACTAGTAATAATAATAGTGATATCCTGTGGCCCTTACAGGTCACGTCACAGTTCATGAAGCACTAAACCACTGTTGCATTTTTACCTGCTTTTATCCTCCAGTAAGTAACCCACGCGAAGTGGGCAGAGCAGACATCGCTCCCGTTTTCAACCATGGGAAACTGCGGCCTAAATAACTTACCTCAGGTCCCACGGGGCGGAGTGGGGAGCTGGGTCTAGAAGCCAAATGTCCCGAGTCCGCAGTTCAGCACTTTATCCCCTTTCACCTCCGCAGACCTACTGCCTGTGCTGCCAGGAATTCGTCTCCATTGCACTTTCATGTAAATCTCTCTCCTTCATCAGCCATGTCCCACAGTGTTCACCTAATAGATGAACACAAATGTGCTTTGTGTAGGACTGTGGAGGATTCTAGCAAGGCTACACTCTTCTGGTGGCAAAAACAAAAAAATATTTACCAAAACCCCATAAGCAAGTGCATGGATGGTAGCAGAACTTCTTAAACGTTTGCTTAGAAGTTCTTTAGTATTTAGTTTTTTAAAATTTTTTATTTTTCAGTTACAATATTACGTCAGCTGCAGATGTACAACATAGTGATTAGACATTTCTAGAAATTATGAAGTGATCACCCCGATAAGTCTAGTACTTACTTGGCATTGTATATAGCTATTATAATATTATTGACTATATTCTCTGTCCTGTATTTTACATCCCCTATTTAAAAAAATTAAAGTCACTGATTTATTTTTTATTTACTTATTTTTTAAAGATTCTTTGGTGCATAGAGTTTTGTTAATAGCAAGTCCCAACTCTGCTACTGGAGAAAATTGAGTTTGAGAAAGATAGAAGAAAAAGTAGAGTATAAAGATGAAAAAAATCAAGGAAAACCAATTTGAAGGTCAGAATCCTTTTATTTCACAATTCTAAGTGTGCAAATAAACACACTCTGCATGTTAACTAAATGATCAAAGGCATACAAATTGATGTGCTCTTCAGTCTTTACTTTCGTAAGTCTTACCACCTGGCCTTGCATGCCCAGCCCAACAAACCTCATTGCCTACCTGTACTAGTTGCAAGAGAACCATGGGGAGAAGTTCGACAGGTGGAAACTGCCATCGGTTGGTCAAAACTAAGCCTTACACCAGTTCCATAACTCGTGCATGATAAAATGTCTTCGTTTATAGGGTATATTGGTCAAGGTATTTATTATTGAACTTGAGTCCCTTTTATTTAAAGATTTTATTTATTTCTAGAGAGAGGAGAAGAGAGGGAGAGAAATATCAATGTGAGAAAGAAACATCAACCAGTTGCTTCTCCTATGTGCCCCAACCGGGGACTGAACCAGCAAAGCTCGCATGTGCCCTGACCTGGGATCGAACTGGTGACCTTTCGTTTTGTGGGATGATAACCAACAAGTCGAGTCACATCAGTCAGGGCTGAAGTCACTTTTTTAGATAACAAACTGGTAAGGAGTTAAGTGACACAGAAACCTCGTTTACTGCTACCCACACAGCATAAAAGCACCCATAGGCAGGAAGGTTCTGTGGTCAACTAGAAACATGGCCAGACCGAGATCCGCCAGTCTGACTTCATGTTTTATTTTCACACCTAATTTGCCTCCATGCCTGACTCTCCTCCCTCCCCACCCTCTTATCTATTGTTTCTATCCTAAAGATGATTTCATTTGCTGTATTTTCTTCCTCTTCTCCAATGTGTTCACTGTATATAGGATCTTCCTGTTAAAATGCTTATGTTGTGACTTCTTTTTAATGTGGCTCTTTCCTTTCCTGTTCCCTTATTATGCCTATGTCATTTTATTCCATTCTGTTTTCTTCTTTCATTCAAATTATGTGTATACCCATGACTTACTTACAGAATAGCCCAGTTCCAGAAAACTTGCACATAAATTTTTTAAAGTCAGTATATTCATTCTGCAAATATTGCCGAGTCCCTCTGACGTCAGCCATTGCACACAGAGCGCCACGGAGACAAACAAGCACACAATGACTGCTACTTTAACTTGGTGAGCTCTAGGCTAGAAATGTAAACAGGTTGCTATGGGAGGATGAAACCATTTCTCCCAGGTTGGTGGGAAGGACAGGAGACTGTTAGAAAGGCTTTGCAAAGGAGACATCAGAGCTGGGTCTTTGAAAGATAAGCAGAACTTTAGATTCTTTTAAATCAAAAGAGGAAAGGATAGGGGGTTGGTTTACAAGCAAGATGGTCTGGAGAGAAGGTACTAGTGAGTCAAGGCACACGGCAAAGTGCCTGACCCACAGAGACCAGGTAGCGTGGTGGGCAGTGGCGGCTGAGTCCGAAATGGCACAAAGCAGTCTGACCGTGGAAGGCGGACTGTGGGGTGCGTGATCTTTTATTCTATAGGAAACAGGGGTGTGATGAACTCTTAAAAAAACTTTCTGGCACTAACACGGTAGTACTGGGTTGAAAAAGGGACTGGGTAAGGAGAGTAGTAAGGGCACTGCAACAGTCCAAGTTAATGAGAGCTTGAATCTAAGGCCGAGGGAAGGGAAGTGGTGTGTCAGTGGTTATTAAAAACACATTTCGGCTAACAGTTGAGAGGTGGAAGGCAAAATCAGGAGTCAAACGCTGTTCATGACTTGTAGCTCACGTGAAGGGATGGCAGGTGAGGCCTAGAAACTGAAATACAGCTGGAAGCACAAGTTAGGTTTTACCTTTGTGGGCTGAAATGTAGGTAATGTTTTAGATGCAATTACATATTATGGACTATTCAAACAGATATCCAATCAGCAGCAAAAAATTGAGGTCTGGACCCCATGGGGTCAAGTTTGAGGATAGACAGGTGTGCTTCAGGGCTATCAGTAATAAAAGCCATAGCCGAAGCCCTAAATACAGAAAGCGAACTAGTGAAGTTTGTTAAATGCTCGACGTTTGAAATTTTTCATAAAGGGATTCCTCAAAGCAGGGGCATATCTGCATTAATTAATAAGAGAACACGGTATATTATAAAAGCAATAAAAGGGAAGATAAATTAAGGTTTAAAAATAAAGAGTACATGTAACAGTTGGTTTTGAAGCTCTTGCCTACAAAGTTGGAAGTATTACATTAACTCCTCAGTAAAAATGGCATCTAGGAAAATGAAGGAAAACAGAAAGGGATGAAAAGAAGTGAGGGAAAGAGAGATTGGGCAAAAGGACTAGGAAGGGAAGGGTTACTTTTAAAAATCATTTTGCTACATTTTAAAGGGAGCAGATGTAGAAAAATGTTAAATTAACATTGAGACCAATAAAAACGTCAAACCAAGGTTGAGAAAGGGCAAATAAGAACTCACGAGCAAAAACAAAAAAAGAACCAAACAAAAAACATTAAAAAATGACAAAAATCACAGGAGAATCACAGGAGAAATGACAAAAAAAAAATTAAAGAAAATGGAGTAAAATGAAATTGTTAAAAAAAAATCTTTCCCCCCAAAAAACACATAAAATAACTTGACAGGACAAAGTGAAATGCCAAGCGGTTAAGACGAACATGTCTGCATGATTATCCAGGAGTAGGAAACAGAATTACTAAGTGTACTGGGTAGGTGACTAGCGGTTCTGGAATGGAACTTAAGTATTTAAATTTGCTGTGACCTTGGGCAAGCAGGGAAAATGGTTATGAGGACTGTAATAATATGTGCAACATGTCTAATATGCAGTGCTCAGTAAATGAAGGTTATAGAAGAAAAAAATTGAATGTTGTTGACTAGTACACGAAAGTCAAATTTCCAAGTTTTTCTAATCTAAAACATGGATTCGGTTACAGCACTTGAAACAAACTTTATTACAACTGAGTGATTACACTTCTCTAGTTTTATACTGTTGCATCAGCCTTCACTGTAATAAGGAAGGAGTTGAGACTCATTTGCCCATTCTATCTCAAACTGTGTAACATGCTACATATTTTCTTTAGAGACCTTTACAGTACAAGCTACTTGGTCCAATAAGCTTATTTGCAATTATTGTAGTAACATCTATATACCTATGGCACTTTACACCTTTTTGCTGAGCTGTTTGAAGACAAGCAGGGGAGGGTTCAATAGTTTTGCTAAATACATTAACCAAAAAGCCTTAATTGCGTGGCCACCAACATTCAAGCCTTTGATCATATAAACTCCCAATAAGATGGGAAATCATGAGATGTTTTCTTATACATGTAGTATTAAACATTGCGTGTGCAGAAATAATTATCTATTTGTCTTAACTTACTTTTGCTAGACTTCCTACTGATAAAAGTAGAAAAAATTTAAGATCCTTAACCATGATTTTGTGGAACTGAGACCCAAATGTTTTTCTGTATAACCAGCTCCCTAAAATGCACTACACGAAAATATTGATAGAATTTTTTTTTTTTGTACACCATCTTTCAGGAGTGCATCTCATCCACAAAGTTAATTCAAACTACAGAATTCTTCCAATTCACCAGAGCTGGACAGATTCCAAGGCTTTTGGGTACTTACCTTTGAGTTCCACATTCTACAATCTGGGGTTTTTAACTGGAGGATTACTGGGTTATGAGCAGGCTTTATGGAGTTCTTGAATTCTCTGACATAGTAAGAGATATTCAGTACACATGTACATATGAATGTTTTTCTCGGGTAAAGGCACATACCTTTTATCAGATTTTCAAAGTCCTTTCAAAAAGCTTAAGAATCAGTTTGACATTTAAATGAACAGATGTACAATCTGCCAAATATTGCTGTATTTTAACATTGGTGAGATTTCTTAATTTAATAAGCATCTTGGGAAGTTCAGTGTTGTAACCAGAAAAACTGCTTATAAGAGTAGTTCTCCCTAGTAATTCACATGATGCTCAACCCACTGCGACCTGACTTCTGTCCCCATTCTCTGGAATTACTTCTGTCTGTATGATGAAGTTCTAATTGCTCAATTCAAAATATTCTTTGGTCCTTATCTGGCCACTTGGTGGTGGTGTATAATGGAGAAAGCAGACTCTGGAGCCAAACTGTTCAAATCACAGCTCCGACCACTTGCTAGCTCAGCAACTTTGAGCAAATTAACTCTCTGTGCCTCAGAGTAGTATCCTTTGTAAAAAGTTCCTTCACTCACATTGTGTGAACCTTACTTCAATGTAAAAATTAAATTAGCTCCCAGTAAATAAAGCATTATGTATGTTATTATATGGTACCTGGGGTAACTCCTTTCTTGAAAGTCATTTGAAGCCTGTCTCCTATGTCTCATTTTACCTCTGATGGCTCCATAGTTTCACTTTCCTACTTCTAGGCTTATCCCTCTCTAATACTAACTTTTACACTATGGCCAGAATTTGAAACTATAAATCTGATGTCATCTCTTGCCCGTGACATTAGTGGTAGTCTATGCTCCTTAGCATAGTAGACAATCCCTTATGACAGTGGACCTGTCTAGTTCTTCTTCCTGTCTCCATTGTCCACACTTATCCTACTAGGACCGTTGAACCAGCCTTATTCTTTTAACTCATGAGTTTGTATAAGCCTTTGCCTCTATCTAGACTATCCCATTCTCCTCTTCTTACCACACTCCACAAAGTAAATTAGGTGTCTTTCCTCAATGTGCCCCTAGTAACCCTGTACACTACACTGTTTGGTTACTGGTACATTTCATCTGGTCAGATCTTTCCTTCCCACCACTTCCAATAAAGAACAGGAGAGGGAACAACATTATGACAGTCTTGTTCTTTTTTTTACCATCGTAATCTTAAACATTTTTTATAACTCCTTTGTTTGTCATTCTATAACCCCTCTTCTCATTTTTTAAATTAACCCACTGAGTTTACATAGAAATATACCTAGAAAGTTATAAGTACATAAATAATCTAGATAACAAAACTTCACACTGCAGGGAACATTCTAGAAGTATTTATTTCACTGCTGACCACTTGGTTACAGCATGCAACTCTCAACAACGAGCTGCCACTCTCCACCCCTACAGAAGCACCAAATGCTTTGGTACCACTACTTAGCTTTTCAGACTTTCAAAGGCTTTTATTACCAACATCGTTACTTAGGGACAAGCCTTTCAAGGACTTAAAAGAACTTATTTTCTATTAAAAAAAAAAAGTAACTTCATATTTCGTGCACAAAATGCCAATTGGCAGATTTCAGTCCAAAATGGGAAGAAAAAAATTTTTTATCTAGTTCTGGAAATTACCAGGAATAAAATAAGCATTTCTCCTTGCCTTGTTACAAGGAAATAGAATTTTTTCTTTATCAGTAATCAGGACAGTAGCTTTGATGACCCCATAGTTATAAAATTACTTACTGGTTAAAGTTCTTTCCAAAGATGTTAAGAAGTAAGAAGTTGGCTCGTTTTCCTCTACAATTTAAAGAAGTATTTGCAGTATTTGTAGGAGTTATAGGTTACACTGCAGATCCTTGTGACAATATTGAAAAGGCCTACTCTCCCGTTTAAAAAATTCTATCTCAGAAGGTAAAAGGAAATCCCCATTATCCCTGAGCAAAAAAAGGGAAAAATCATAGGTACTTTTATTTGTTAATAAAAGCCACTATAAATGAGTTACGTAGCTGTAGATGAATCTCAGAGAATTTATATAAACTGAAGCAGGTGTGAGGTGCTCTCAGAGACTTTTTCGGATAAATATATTTAGTAGTTTGGGTAGTCACTCCGCAAAAACTTAAATTTAATTAACTACACAGCTGGACACTTTCCATTTTTAAATTTGAGACTGTCCTGACAGGACGCTTATGGGACATGAAACTATTGGGCACAGAAGAATTTTAAAAAATGCTAACAAAGTGTGGCAAGAGGAAAAGACAGTGGGAAAACTGTAGCAGAGAAAGTGAGAAAGGGGCAGGATAAAGCTGTAGTTATGAGCTGGGCCGTTCTCATTAAGTCAGGAGCCTCGGGCTATATGTATGCTATGCTCACTCCTATTAATATAAAACTGGACGCTGAAAAATAAATTTAAGAATGTCCCAAACAATTTAAGTCTTGTAAGGAATAAATGACAGAAAACATTTTAGCTTCTTAATCAAGGAGTGCTATAATATTGATTTCAAGGCATCCTATTATAATTCGTTTAACCATAAAGCAATTGTGCAATAAGCAAAATACAAAAGGAAGATACACCAAAGGTTAACTTGCTACAGGGGCCAACAGACAGGATCTTTGCAGCACAGCAATTAACCTTCACATACTGGAGTCTTATTTAAAAGGCCATCAAAAAACTCAGATTACTGAAAATCACAAATGTCACCAACAAAAGGAATGTTGATTAGATAGAATCAAAAACCTTTCCAAAGGACTGCCTTCTCTGAAGGAATTTCCAACTGCTGCTGGCACAGGTTGGTTCAGTTAAATCTCACTGATGGCTCCGTTCGAGAATGAGAATGCCCCAGTCAGTGCTGTTTTAAAAATGTAAAACAACTGGGAGAGAAAAAAACAAAACAATCTACTGTTCCCTAACATATACATATATATATGTATATATATATGGCTTAGCACCCAGAGAAAGCCTCTGCCCCCAAAAGAGACTTTCTACAGAGGGTTAAGCTTTATTAAATGAGGTGTAATCTTTCCTTTTCAGGATATGCCTTTTCTTGCAAGGTCCTTAGAAGTTCCACTTGGATTCTAATATGCATCTCTGTGAGCTCAGCTTCCTGAAAACATACACCTGTCGGGTTCTAGGTTCTCCGTTGTCAGTGAACGGAGTCACTACTTCACAGCCACCAGAATCGCACATAGACTATTAGCATGATGAAGAACACAGCTACTGCTGCAAGTTTGGCATAAGTGGACCGCATGTTCAAGTACTTCGCATCCTGGCGGTATTTCTTGGACAGACTGGACAAATTGTTAGCCTTTGAATCCAATGCTGTCAAAGGAGAATAAAAAGGAAAACATTAGTGTGTGGAAGTATTTTATCAAATGTATTAAGACATAAAAATAACCAAAATGAGTGACACTATACCAAACAACCACAAAGCTTAAATTATCATTTTTATTTTAAGGGTAAGGTTACATGCACTGATTAACTCATGATCCTAAAGCGATGAAAAAATCTACAATGAATTTTATTTTTTAATTATACTTTATTGCTTATGCCATAAGACTTATCCCAATTTTCCCACCTTTGCTCTTCTCCATCCAGCACCCCCACTGCCTCACGCAATCCCCACACCATTGTTCATGTCCATGGCTCATGCACCTGTGTTCTTTGGCCGCTCCATTTCCTATTGTGTACTTTACATCCCCATGGCTATTCTGTAAATACCTATTTGTACTTCAAAATCCCCTCACTTCTTCACCCATTTCCCACACTCCCTTTCCATCTGGCAACCATCAACACGCTCTCCATATACATGATTCTGTCTCTGTTCTTCTTGTTTGCTTAGTTTGTTTTTAGATTCAATTGTTGATAGGTATGTACTTATTGCCATTTCATTGTTCATAGTTTTGAACTTCTGTTTTCTTAAATAAGTCCCTTTAACATTTCATATAATAATGGTTTGGTGAAGATGAACTCCTTTAGTTTTTTCTTGTCTGGGAAGCTCTTTATCTGCTCTTTTGATTCTAAATGATATCTTTGCTGGGTAAAGTAATCTTGTCTGTAGGTCCCTGCTTTTCATGACTTTGAATATTTCTTGCCAGTCCCTTCTAGCCTGCAAAGTTTCTTTCGAGAAATCCGCTGACAGTCTCATGAGAACAACTCCGTAGGTACCTGACTTTTTCTGGCTTTTCTCCTGCCGCTTTTACGATTCTCTCTTTATCTTTAACCTCTGGCATTTTAATTATGATGTGTCTTGAAGTAGGTCTCTTTGAATTCTTCTTGTTTGGAACTCTCTCTGCTTCCTGGACTTGCATGCCTATTTCCTTCACCACATCAGGGAAGTTTTCTTTCATTATTTTTTCAAATAGATTTCCAATTTCTTGCTCTTTCTCTTCTCCTTCTAGCACACCTATGACGAGAATGTTGGAATGCCTGAAGTTGTCCCAGAGGCTGCTTATGCTATCCTCGTTTTTTTGGAATCTTTTTCCTTCTTGTTGTTCTGATTGGTTGTTTTTTGCTTCCCTATGTTCCACATCACTGAGTTGATTCTCGGCTTCATCCACTCTACTGTTGTTTCCCTGTAAACTGTTCTTTATTTCAATTAGTGTGTCCTTTGTTTCTGACTGGATCTTTTTTATGCAGTTGAGGTCCTCGTTAAGTTCCTTGAGCATCCTTATAACCAGTGTTTTAAACTCTGCATCTAATAGATTTCTTGTCTCCATTTTATTTAGCTCTTGTTTTGGAGTTGTGATCTGCTCTTTCATTTGGGTCATGTTTGTCTTCTCGTTTTGGTAGACTCCCTGTGGGGTCCAGTGGCACAGCCTCACCTATCACCCAAGCTGGGTACTCAAGGAATGCCCTTCATGTGGGCTGAGTACACCCTCCTCTTGTAGTTGAGCCCTGGTTGCTGTTGCAGGCCAATGGGAGGGATTTACCCAGGCCAGTCGGTTGTAAGGATCAGCTGTGACTATTGACCACCCACCTCTGCCCTCCTTGGAGGATCAGCTTTGCAGGGGCTGGATGATGGTGCCCTAATGTGATCTGTACCTGCCCACTGGGTACACAGGCTCTGAGTTTTCCCAGATGGTGCAGAGCAAGGTCAGCCCCATATATGTTTTGCCCAGGCCACTTTGACTGAACTATAAAGCAATATGAGATGGCTGTTACTTGTGCTGGGCTTGGAGATTCCCAGGGGAAGCCAAGCTGTGAATCTAGGCTGGCTGCTGCTAGTGTTGTGTCTGAGGCCACTTAGCTAGAGGTACAGGGGCTGGGAGCTCACTGAGTCCAGCTGTTACTTGTTTGAAAGGATTTAGGAAGTTACAAATCATAAGCCAACACCAGCCATTCATATGGAAAAGTTAGGTTAACAGCTGTAAGCTGGGTGGGATGGAGCCTCAAGGGATCTCCACGGTGGCGCAGTACAGTGTTAGGCACATTGATGAAGTCTGCCCACCTTTCTGTCTTAAAACAAAGCTGTCTCCCCAGCTCTCATCTTGATGTCAAACACTTCAGTTCCTCCCTGTGTGCCACTGGTGCCTTTCAAGCTGCTACCCCAGTGCTGGAGCTCAGAGGGAAGGAGTCTGAGTAAGTTTGTATGTGGGTTCTTTAAGAGGAACTGCTTGGGACTGTAGAAGTTTCTTCCACCAACTCAACCCCCACTGGTCATGAGTCATGAGTCAGCCAGAAGTCATGGAGATTTATCTTCCTGGCACTGGAACCCTGGGCTGGCAGCCCTGGTGTAGGGCTGGGACTCCTTACTCCCGAGATACTCCTCCCAAATTTGTATCTACCACACATGGATGTGGGGCCAGCCTGTTTCATGTCTCCACCCTTCCTACTGGTCTGGATGAATGTGGTTTTTTTAATTCCATAGTTGTCAAGACTTCCATTCAACTCAATTTCTGCCACTTCTGAGTGATGGCTGTTCTACATTTTAGTTGTAATTTTGAATTATCAGGTCAAATTATGTTCAAATTCTTGAGGCTGTACAGTGACGTGGTCAGGAGTGCAGACTCGTGCCTCTGACTCTTTGGTTCAAATTTCAGATGCACCAGCCATGTGACGTTGGTCAACTCAGCCTCTCTAAAGACCCAGATTCTTCATCATCTATTCAATATATAATGGGGGTAACAGAAACCTACCACAGGAGTATAGGGGCATGAGAATGCCTGTAAAGTGAGCACAATACCTGCATATGGTAAACATTTGAAATGTTGGCTGACCTAAGCATCTCCATAATCTTTCAATGGTCTAAATCATATTTTCTCATATTTTGAAAAACAATAATCTATGTAAAATGGGACTCATGTACTCAGAAAATTTAATCAACCAGACACTGGTTGAGTGTTAAGCTTTATTTCAATGGTGAATGCCAAATTTCTAAGATTCTCTAGCAATTGCATTAAACAGACATAAGAAAGTTGTATTGTACTTAAAGTACAATAACAGGTGCTAGAAAACTACTACTATCTACTAAATCAAGCTTTTTAGACTCTTTTGCAACATTTATTTTTCCTACAAGGACATTTTTCATGTCATTATCTTCTTATAATTGTAAACTGAGCACTTAGAGAAATAGCCAGATAGACACAAGCTAAGCTGGCCTAAAATATACAGCAATTTTAAAAAAAACAAACTCTCAGTCTGACATAAATGGATTTTGATTAAATGTTTCACTCCCTTAAATTTTTAAAACACTGTTTTGCAATCTGAATTTGCTCGTTCTCCCTTGGAGAATGCTTTTGGAATATCTGCAGTTGCCTCACGAGACTGGTGTTGGTTGGGAAATGTGGTATTACTTAATAACACAGGCATCACAGCTACGTTTAGATTTGAACCAGCCTATAAGAAAAAAACCTAGTCATGTTAAAAAAAAGTTATAGGCTGGGAAATAACCATGGCAATGCTGTAAGGAATCTTTCTAACCAGTCCACTAGAGTGTATAACCTATTTTACAGAGGTTTTTAACTACTGTGTTTATTGTTGTATCATCAATAACTGGGACAGGGTCTGGCATATAGTTAGCTACTCAAAAATATTTGCTACGTGAATCTAAATCTACTGAGAATAACTGGCTTGGGAACAAACATATGAAATATGAAATAAATAATAAGTAAGAGAATTGCTTTACATAGGAACATTTAGAAGCACATGATAGCATAAAGACAAAGCTACTGCTTGGAAATGTCATTTGCCAAGTATGTGAAGGCAGTATGTGAAGTGCTAGAGGATACAATGATTGTCAAACACGTTATTTTGACCCCTGTATTTGTGGGATCTAAAGTGTAGTAGGGTGACACCTTGAAATGAACCCCATGGCTTAAAAGAAACAGGTAAATTTAGGCAGTAAAAAGGGTATAAATTGATCTTGCTGAAGGAACCCATAAGAACTATTCTTGGGTCTTAAATGCAAAGTATACTAATTATACAACTTTAAAAATTAAAGAAGCAAGCATAAAAGATGGGTTCTTATTATGAAGAAGCTCAGAGAACAAAATATTTTTTTGAGGGAAGCTAATCTTTTCACTGTCCTTCAAATATGCTCTGTTCCGATATGCTTTTTTCTTCCTCTTAAAATACCACTCTTCACTCCTTCCTGATTTATCAAATTTCAAGAAATCTTCCCTGCTTACTTCACGTTTATCTACTTCCTCCTACATTTTTATAGTTCTCATTGTCCATATGTCTATTTAAAACTATCATATGTTGAAGATGGACAACAAGTCTGTGGCCAATGAACTCTGCCAGGCATGAGCGGGGTGACCTTTAGTAAGTACTCAACTTTCTGAGTCTCTGCTGCTTTATCTGTAAAACTGGTTTGATACCACCCACCCCACCTGGGATTACTGTAAAGAATCAATAAGATATATGTAGTCCCCTTACCATACTGCCTGGCACAAAGTGTTCAATTGATGTTTGTTTCCTTATACCATCTATAAATTACTCTGTGGCAATGTTTCTTATTTTCCCAACCAAATGAAGTTACTTTAGGGTATAAATGTATTTCTTTTTCTTTTAAGGTTTTATTTATTTATTTTTAGAGAGAGGGGAAGGGAGGGAGAAAAAGGGTGGAGAGAAACATCCATCGGTTGCCTCTCGCATGCAACCCAACTTGGGACCTACCCCACAACCCAGGCATGTGCTCTGATGAGGACATCAAGCCGGCAACCTTTGGCTTTGCAGAATGAAGCCCAGCCAACTGAGTCACTCTGGCCAGGGCTTAAATGTAAATACTTCTTTTTTAATTAGCCTATCAGCTTTAGAGCAAGGCCCTAGGAGAGAATTCCTTATATTTTTGATAAACTAACCAATATAGTATATATTTTGAATTTTTAAAACATTCCTGTGCAGGTCTACTTTATCCCAGGTGGAAACTGTAAGTCTGTTATGATGAAAATATACACAGACTCACTCAAAATTTGATGCTTAAAGAGTGTGAAGCTAGCTATACACTGGGACAACTGCTCACTACTAACATAAAGGTTAAAATTTGCAGTATGTAATAAAACTTATCATGAATGTGTAGCAAGGTTAAATTCAAAAAATATTCATTAAGATATCTATTTGTGATCAATACTATGAGGCATAAAATATATGAAATAGACATGAAACATAAGCACTGCCTTTAAAGAGTACATGTTCACATTAAACACTTCAGTTAACATTTAAACACTTAAGTAATGTTTAAACATTAAATATATACACTTATTAAACTTAAATATATACACTTATGTATTATATATATTTAAATTTCAGGCAAATTAGGTAAACAGGAACATACACACATTTATATACAAACATCCCATCATATGCTTAAAAAAACATGTATGTAACTAAATGCTTTAAAGAGTTTAATGTGATGTGGGCTATAAGGATCAGAAAAGGCTTCTGCATAGAGAAAGTTCTTGCCTTGGCCAGCTAGCTCAGCTGGTTAGAGCATTATCCTGATACACTAAGGTGGCAGGTTCAACCCCCAGTCATGGCACATGTAAGACCCAACCAATGACTGCATAAATAAGTGGAACAATAGATTGATATCTCATGTCTCCCACCCACCCTCCTTTTCTTCTCCCTCTAAAAAAAATCAATTAAAAAAAAAAGAGAGAGAGAAGCAGTTCAGTTCTTATCAAGATCTTTAAAAACAGGTCCAGGATGACCAGAATGAGTCAGAATGTTTGTGAACCAGGAAAGAGGGCAGCTTGTAATCTCCTTATCTTCCATTATAGAGAACACAGTGTTTTGTGCATTGTCAAGTACTCAGTAATAATAACTGACTGAATGAAAAGGAAGTTGAGACCAGACTACATATTATCTTGCAGTAAGGTTTTAAAGTTTTTCAACAGAGGAATGCCTCGATGAAAATGGCATTTCATAACATCTGTTCTGGCAGCAATAGAGTTGCCCGAAGCGCCTACTCAGGAAACTACTACAATCGACAATTTCCTCTCATTCTTCTTTTCATTTCCCTTAACTTATGGAGGTGTTCCTGTAAATACTTAATTTTGTAAATATCTTAGACACAGTAATTACTTCTGATATGGGATAAGACCCTTACACAGTTCCAACTCAGCAAAAACTGATCATCTTAAGAAAAACATATTGGAAGCTTATAATGTAATCTATTTCTGAGAGATGAATTCTTAACAGCGCTCAATAGAATCTGACAGCGTAAAAGGTACCCCAATATAAGCTCTCCTTGCCTATGGAACGAGAACCCCCTCTTCATAAGGCCCGTCCTGCTTTTGGGTACCTGACAGTGCTTCTCCCCGTTGTAACACTTCTTCAATGTTGGCCACCATAAGCCTCTGCACATCTTGCAATTCAGTGTTGATGGAGCCTAGGTTTCTCCGAGCACGGCTGTCGATGTAGAGCTTCTTGGTTTTCTGAATGTAGGTCTCTAGAACGATGAAGAAAAATGACCATTAAGGACTTCTTTCTTGTCCACCAAAGTACTGAAGCAGGGAATAGGGAGTTCTGAGTTCAGTCCTAGGTTGCAACTGTCTGTAGTTAAACCAAGCATTTGAATGAGTATCAAAGTTTGAGTTTTCATGTCTTCATTTATAAAATGTAAAGATATAATTAGATGACCATTCAGAAGAAATGTCCTTTGCACAACTTTGAATTAGAAGCATCTGCTCTCAGGATCTTTAGAGAAATGAAGACCCACTACAGTAAGCCTTTCCTGAAAGCAGAAATTTTCAAACTGCATTCCAAGCACCCTAAGGGTTTCATTACTTAACTCAACCCCCTCCCTGAAAAGGATGCTGGCAACCACCTAGCATTTCTACAGGCTAACATGGCAAAAGAGTCACTCTATCATTAACAAGTTGAAAAAAATTATCTTAAAAGTATTTTCTTTACATTCTCAATTTCACTCTATTCATAAACTTCAGGTAAAGCAAACGTGTTACAGAGTTTCTCAAATAACCACTATAAAACTGCAGTCTCATTCATGTTTAGCCCATGTCTATATTTCTCAGAATTGTAAGAATGACATTATTATTAATTATATTCTCAACATTTGGAAAAAATCTTAAGCTGTGTGTGCGAGGTGCCTTTCATTTGCCTCTTTGGGTCTCCCCTCCACCCTTCAGCACCTGCTTTGCCTTGGGAAGCTGACCTACATAGACTATATCAACGGGTTCCTTGTCCCATAGTTCCCAGTCAGGTTTAGCCCAAGGGGGAGCCCCTAGAGTAGGAAAGAAGAGAGAACAGTGGCATCAGGGTATTTATTCCTCTAGCTCCTCCCTGAGGAGCTGGCACTATCCCTCCACCAAAAGTTACAGCTCAAGTTGGCCTTCTTGATAAATTTTCTCCTTCCCCAATCCGGAAACTGCTCCTTCCCCTCATCCCTTCAGGCCTAGGGATGGCAATGACTGCTGTCCAGTACCTTGCAGTTCACCTGTAATCCATTCATGTCTTTGCATATAAACCTTTAACCTAATTTGAGTGTATCAACTATGTCCTGTGTGACCTTGACAATAGCAGTCTTAATTTTTTCTTGGGTTTACTGGATCGTTATTATCTACAAAAGTAAAATTTGAAAAACCAGACATTAAAAAATTAGAACTTGGAGTTTGGAGGTAAAAAAAAACTGGACTATTTTGCTAAATTTTATTTATTTCTAAAAAGCAAGATGATCTTATCTAGAAAACCTGAAACACTTCAGAATGTCAGAGACAGTAAAAACCAACTTCTTTTTTTTTAAACTAAAATGTCAGTGATGCAGTCTGAGCATACTTGCTCTCATTTCCTCTACTTGCTGTCCTTAGGGCATCCCCTTTGACCTACTGCCATCAGATACTTTAAGAGGCCTGAGCAGTGATGAGTCTGTAACTCTTCTGTAAGTACCAACACCTCTGGTCACTCCTTCTGCATGTGGTAAATGGTATCCACCCATGGCATCTATCTTCTAGTGCTTTTCTTTAAAATTAGAGAATCTTATTTTTCTAAAAAAAACAAAACACCATGCTTTCTGATTTTCAAATTCTGAACTCTGTAAAATGAGCCTTACTGTGAGTGTGTGAGTGTGTGCATGTGTCTGTGGGTGTGGGAAAGGACTCAGCTATTGTATGCCAATCAGGTATATCTTTAGGCACAGTTCTTGGGCCTAATGAAGAATCGAACCAAATAACTGAAAAGGGCAAAGGGCAACAAGTTCTATGGGGAAAAGATCAGAAGAGCAGAAAAAATTATTTACAAGAAGAAAGCCCCATTCATTCAAAAGAACAAAAAGAAGTGGAATGGAAGAGGCAGAATCCAAACCTTCTGTAAGTAAACATCAGTTAAATTATGTGAAAATTATAGCAGCATAACAAAGGGCTTTTTCCATATCCTTTGCTCCCTTGATACAAAGGCGAGGAGCAAAAACTTACCAAACTCAATAAAGCAATAGGGTCTAGACACAGTGGGCACCTTCTTTCCATACTGTTCATCAAACTCTGAGTGCAAATCTTCTAGGTAGGCAAAAGCCAACTTCTTAGGGAAGGTAGCTTCACACAAAACCAAATAACACACCCCTTGCTCAATAATGTAGCTGGAGGAACAAAAAAGCAAGAAAAGTTTTTTGTAGAGTAACAATACGTCTAACGATTTGAAGCAGACTCTCAGCGCCACACAAACTTTTAAAAATATCCTAACCTAAGCCCTTTGAGGCTAACTAAATCAGAAAGCCAATTTCAAACCACAAATCCTTGGAATCAGAAAGCAAACAGATTTCTATTATTAGAAGTATATTGCAAAAGGAGTATTTAGGCATGTTTATTATAATTATCCATTCATTACATAATTCTTCAAATAATATATCCTAATATCTAAGACTTTTTTCTTGACAACATGAAGTTGTCACTATATCCATCCTTCGATTGCATATGGAAACTAGTACACACAGTTTTAAACTCCTTCCAGCTATAAGGAAAGCAGTGAAACTAAAAAATTGTGTGGATACTTAAAAGCTAGAAGTTAATGCCACAATATTACTGGGTGCAGAAAATAACGACCTCAGGACTAATAATATTCCTTGGTATCTTGGATAGGAGTACTCTGCATCAACTGGAAACTCCCCAGTAACAGACCTGACTTCCTCTTGTGAGAGTAAGCGGTGAGCTTCTTGACCTTCTGGAAGGGGCCATGAGATTACATACCTGACATATTCTTGGAAAAAAGTTAGGCAGCTCAGTGATTTTCAAATGTCTTTTTAGTCATTGTATTCTTTATTTTAGCAAAAATTATATTCAGAAAACCAATATGTACAGTAAATAAAATAAATTCTTTACTTCAAGCAGGAGTCTAAGGGCCTAAAGTATTACACATACCCCCACTCCTGAGGCATGCGAGGATCCACAAAGGAGTGTTTATAGTCTATTATGTGATCTCTCAGGCCCCCTGATGATGATGATGATACTACTGCTGTCCTATGTCTTACTTGGGCACCTGAATTAACTGGTCTCCTTGCCATCAGTCTAGACCATCTTATAACCTAAACCATCAGTTTTATTCCTAAAAAATGAAAAGAATCATATTACCCTACTTAAAAACCCTAGGGGTTCCCCAATACCTATAAAAGAAAATCATATTCCTTGGTATACTATTCATAGCCTTCCGAAACAAATGTAGACCACATTGCATCATATATCCTAATACACTATATGACATGCTGTTCTCCAACAAGCTAGGTTCATTTCCATCCTTGTGGACTTACATAGTATTATTCTAACTGTAATACTTTTTCTGAAAATTAACAAGGAGGAAACTTTGTTAATTTTCCTTAGTACCCTGCTCAAATATTTACTAACAACATAACCTTGAAAAATTCACATATACTTCTCCAGGCCTCAGTTTCCTCTATAAAATAGGGAAAGTAATCACCGTTTTGATTATATATGGAGGGAATCCATGTATATCTTTTAAGTAAAAATGAGCAAATAAGCATACAAAACCAACAAAAAGCCCTGGCCTATTGGTGGAGAAAATAGTGGATGATAAGTTTCATAAAGTATTAATTTGTGTCGTATATAAAACATTTTCCATAAATCTAATTTTTAACATCAAAAATTTGGAAAGAAACAAGGGAAGAAAACGTTAATTTTCATATGCTCAATTCTACTATAATTTTTTCTATGAATTTCTCTATATTCTCCCTCTATCCCCTTTCCTCAAACTTACTCCCTGTAAATGGAAATTTATTGCTTTGTTCTCTCTGTTCCCAAAGCAGGTCATTTACATCCCGAAGAAAGCACCTCTTGCCTTATAGTTGTTTGCATATGCATCTCTGCTAATAAGATGATAAGCTCATTAAAAGCTATGGACATTAAAGGCAGGACTTAATATGTGATCTGGCAAATAAATCTTTAAGAAATAGCTTTTTGATGGAAATAAAAGATGAGATGAGTATAATGGTCCTAAAGGAACAAAGCAAAAGAAAACCTCTTTTCAATTTTATAAGAATTTTCCTAGATTTTTTGTTTCTTTTGTTCCTAACCTATGGTAGAGATAAAGGCACTATATATACTTAAGTGCCTGTAACTTTTTGATGTTAATGAGATTTATAAAAAATGTTTCATATATGACACAAATTTATACCTTATGAAACTTAATATCCACTACTTTCTTAACCAATAGGCCAGGGATTTTTGTTTTGGTTTTTTATGCTTATTTGCTTATCTTTGATGGGTAAAGGTTTGTTTTTTTTCCCCTTTAAGTTGGATACAGAAGGTTGCTACCAGGTCTGTTACCTTGGTATCTGAGTTCTTAAAATAGCAAGATACTTCATCTAATGTTTTTATATTTTTCTCTGCTCTTCTTGTCCTTTCTTTTCTTTAATGCTTCCTGTTTGTTTTGTTACCTTCAAACTTCATATGTATTAAACATTTAATACCAATTATTTGTGGATAATTTGAAATCCAGTAAAGTACCTTTGATCCCTCCTTCTATATGCATTATCTATAACCACTAATTGGGATGCTGTTAAATTATTTTTTATAATTTTCTTTTTTTTCTAAGTAATAACTAACACCTAAGACCATTCTCTATGTGCCAGGCAAACTATTAAAAGATGTACATGGATTCCCTCCATGCATAATCAAAACTATGATTACTTTCCCTATTTTATAGAGGAAACTGAGGCCTAGAGAAGTACATGTGAATTTTTCAAGGTTATGCTGTTAGTAAATGTTTGAGCAGACTATTAAATTACATGTGTCTGGCTCTATGAATCTCCTAAAGCAAAAAGCTATCTACTACTGCATTGCACAATAGGTACAGCATTCACCAGACACAGGTTAACTGGTTAAATTATTATGTTTAAGTTGAATAAACAAACCAAAATTTCAATTTTACAGAATTAGAGCCAGGGAAGTTGCTTCCATGAAGAGACTATACTTTTAAAATTATCTTTACTTTTAAATAATTGTTACCATTCTTATCAGGTGTTACTTACATTTACTGTATTTCATCTTTAAATGATCACAAAGAAATCAGGGTTATACTCACTGAAAAGTCATGGTGCCAGCTTCCAAGGTACATCTGGTAGGGGACTGCTCATTCAGCTTTCGAAAGAGTTGCTTAGCCTGACTCTGGTACTTTTGAAGATCTCGGACAGACTGCAAGAAGACGCTTTCATGTAAGAATTTTCTACACACACACTCAAAAAACGATAAATTAGTGAGAAGCATCAAGTTATGAGGACACTATGGGAATAAGGTCCTTCATTTACAGGTTAGTAAGATTCATTTTAACAAAGAAATAAACAAACAGGCCTAGTTTTAAAGTAAAAAGGAAATCAAACTCCTAGTTTTCAAGAAAATCACACTAGTTACTTGCTAAGAAGCAAAAGTGTACTTTTCAACTATATGTAAGGCACTCTTAACTTTCTTTTGGTTGTTATTGTGCTTTTAAAAAATAACCTCTTTTTAAATTTTTCAATTACAGTTTACATTCAGTATTATTCTGTGTTAGTTTCAGATGTATAGCATAGTGATTAGACAATCATGTACCTCACAGAGTGGCCCTCTCAACGTTTCAAGTACCCACCAGGCCGCATATGTAGTTATTACAACATTACTGACTAGTTTCCCTGTGCTGTAGTTTTCATCTCTAAGGTACTCTAAGCTTTCAGTCCGGTGTTCTTTCCACTATTAGGCCAGTGCCTCCTCCTAACCCATTTCTCTCGCATAATTACTGGCACGGAACTGCACTTGTTCTGCATTCGGGAAAACGCTGGGAACAACAAACTGGTAAGTTTCATTTTTATGCTGGAATGTCAAGCAAAATCTTCCACAGTGTTACAGTATTGAGCATTTCAGCAGAAGTAAATGCGTGCACCAATGACTACAAGTTCTTACGAACACTGTAACTGCAACTAAGTAAAAATGAACAACAGTAAAGACAAAGATTGGAAAGTCAAATGTCCTTTTACTGAATAAATATGTGGTCCCCGTCTGGATAGCAAAAGTCTGAGAAAGAAGGGATATATGCATAAAAAAATGAAAATAATATTTAGATGCTAGAATTACAGGTAATATTTCCCTGAACAATTTCTAAGTGATTTTACAATTTTGTTTTGTTTTTAAGAGGGGAAAAGTCTATTGGGGAAAGAGCAGTGTCACCAAATGAGAAAAATCATCCTTCACTAACTTACAAGATCCAAAGGGAGAAGAATGGGAACCAACTATGCATTACTTATTCACTTACCTACTGGGGGAAAACTTCGGCCACATGATGGGAAGGAATTATTTTATTTTAGGATTATATATTTTGGTTTCAAAGATGGAATACAGTCTCACCTTGACAGATATTTAATAACTACATGTTTAAATAGAAAAGTGTTTCTACAAGGTCTGCCCCCAGTCTGGATCTGAGGTCTAATATTGAAAAAGTACAAAATGAAATCTTAAAATTCTAGATAGTAAGCTGCTGAGCTGAGAGTAAACACAAGGAAGCAATAAAAAATTTTAAGTGGCAGATAAGCAATGCACAAGTATAGATATATTTAAAATGGTGAATTGGAAACGCAAATCAAAACCACAATGAGATACCACCTCACACCTATCAGAATGGCTAATATCAAAAAGGTAAGAAATAACAAGTATTGAGGAGGATAGAGAAAAGGGAACCTTCATTCACTGTTGGTGGGAACGAAAATTGGTACAGCTACTATGAAAACAATATGGGGGTTCCTCAAAAAATTAAAAATAGAACTCTTGCCCTGGCTGGCTGAGTGGCTCAGCTGGTTGGAGCACGGTCCCATACACCAAAAGGTTACGGGTTTAATTCCTGGCCCGGGGACATGCCTAGGTTGCGGGTTTGATCCCCAGTTGTTGGGACACCTATGGGAGGCAGCCAACTGATGTTTATCTCCTGCTTCAATGTTCCTCTTCCCCCCTCACTCTCTCCCTTCTCCCTTACCCTCTCTCTAAAATCAATAAACATGTCCTCAGAGAGGATTTAAAAAAAAAAAAAAAAAGAACTATCATAAGATCTAGCAATCCCACTTCTGGGTAGTTACTCAAAGAAAATGAAAACAGTAGATGCACTTTGCCTCCTTGCACAACTGAAGGAAGGACAACAAATTTAAAAACAAAAAATAACCAGAACTGTCAGAAAATCGAATTGTATGGAAGTCCAACAACCAAGGAGCTAAAGAAGAAACATTCATCCAGACCGGTAGGAGGGGTGGAGACAGGCAGCCGGGGCAGAAAGGACATGTGGCAAAGCTGTGGCTGAAGGACCAGGAGGGCGAGGTGGCAACTGGAGGTCTGGGTGCTCTCACATTTGAGTGCAGATAAACCGGGAGGAACAGCTGGGGAGTGAGACAGATCCCACAACCCAGGGCTCCAGCGTAGGAAAAGCAAGCCTCAAACCCTCTATCTGTAGAAAACTGTGGGGGTTGTGGCAGTGGAAGCAGCTCCCAGCCTCACAGGAGAGTTCATTGGAAAGACTCACAGGGTCCTAGAACATACACAAACCCGCCCACCTGGGAATCAGCACCAGAAGGGCCCAATTTGTTTGTGGGTAGTAGGGGAAGTGGCTGAAAAGCCAGCCAAGAACCAAGCAAGCGGCATTGTTCCCTCTCGGACCCCACTCCCATATACACCATCACAACACAACAACCTGGGTCGCCCCACCCTGGTGAATAGCTAAGGCTCAGCCCCTTCCAACGTAACAGGCGCACTGAGACAAAGAAATATGGCCCAAATGAAAGAATGGTTGATCCAAAAAGAGAACTAAGCGATGAACAGACAGCTAATCTATCAGATGCACAGTTCAAAACACTGGTAATCAGGATGCTCAGAGAATTGGTTGAGTATGGTTCACAAAATGGAGGAAAAAGTGACGACTATGCAAAGTGAAATAAAGAAAAATATACAGGGAACCAACAGTAAAGGGAAAGAAACCTGGACTCAAATCAATTATTTGGAACAGAAGTAAGAGATAAACAGTCAACCAGAACAGAATGAAGAAAACAAGAATTCAAAAAAAAAAGGAGAGGCTTAGGAACCTCTGGGACAACTTTTAACATTCTAACATCCGAATCACAGGGGTGCCAGAAGGAGAAGAGGAAGAGTAAGAAATTGAAAACTTATTTGAAAAACTAATGAAGAAGAACTTCCCCAATCTGGCCAAGGAAATAGACTTCCAGGAGATCCAGGAAACTCAGACATTCCCAAAGACGTTGGACCCAAGGAAGCACACACCAAGGCACATCAGAATTACATTATCAAAAATTAAAGATAAGGAGAGAATCCTAAAAGCAGCAAGAGAAAAGGAGACAGTTACCTACAAAGGAGTTCCCATGAGCCTATCAGCTAATTTCTCAAAAGAAACCTTGCAGGCAAGAAGGGGCTGGCAAGAAGTTTTCAAAGTCAGGAAAAGCAAGGACCTACATCCAAGATTACTCTACTCAGCAAAGCTGTCATTTAGAATGAAAAGGCAGATAAAGTGCTTCCCAGATAAGGTCTAATTAAAGGAGTTCATCATCACCAAGCCCTTATTATATGAAATGTTAAATGGACTTATCTAAGAAAAAGAAGATCAAAACTATGAACAATAAAATGACGACAAACTCAAAACTATCAACAACTGAACCTAAAAAAACAAAAAACAAAAAACAAAACAACAGCAAAAAAAGCCTGAGCAAACCACTAAAACAGAAACAGAATCACAGAAATGGAGATCAGAAGGGCAGGGGAGGAGGGAGAATGGGGAAAAGGTACAGGGAATAAAAAGCATAAATGGCAGGTACAACATAGACAGAGGGAGGTTAATAATAGCACAGGAAATGGAGAAGCCAAAGAATTTATATGTATAACCCATGGACATGAACTAAGGGGGGTGGGAAATGCTGGTGGGAGAGGGGGTACAGAGTGGAAGGAAATAAAGAGGAGGAAAAAAAATGGGACAACTGCAATAGCGTAATCAATACATATTTAAAAATAAAGAAACAGTAATTTGAAAAGATATATGCACCCTTAACATTCATTGCAGCATTATTTACATAGCCAAGATATGAAAACAACCTAAGTGCCCATTAACGGATGAACAACAGATGAAGAAGATGGAGTATATATACACAATGGAATACTATTCAGCCATTAAGAAAACGGAACCTTACCATTTGCAACACCATGGATGAACCTTGAGGGCATTACACTAAGGGAAACAAGTCAGAGAAAGAGAAATATCATATGACCTCACTTGTATGTGAAATCTAAAAAACAAAACAAAGAAACAAGCTCATAGATGTGGAGAACAGATTGGTGGTTGCCAGAGGGAAGGGGAGTGGGGGGTAAAAATGGTTGAAAGGGATCAAAAGGTACAAACTTCCTTTTACAAAATTACAAAATAAGTAAGTCATGGGGATCTAATGTATAGCACAGTGACTAATATTAATAAAATACTAATAGTAATGCATATTATTTTTCAAATATGCATAATTGCATTATTTGAAAGTTTCTAAGAGAGTGAATTTTAAATGTCATTACTAGAAAAAAATTATATGTATGGTGATGTATATAGATAGATTTATTGTGGTGACCATTTCACAGTATATACAAATATTGAATCATTATGTTGTATACGTGAAAGGAATGTAATTTTATAGGTCATTTATACCCCACTAAAAAATAAAATAAATAAAAATAAAACAGTAACCTGAAAATTTAAATATGAACAAAGAAGTAAAGAAGCATGAGGTGAACCAGGAGAATTAGGTAGAGACCATTAGAACTATCACTTTGTATAGTTATCTAGTTTAGCACTGTTCTTATGGCAATGATTTGTTACAGTGCTGTGTTCACTTCAGAAATAGTTTTTCATCAACATGATATATATATGTACCTGTGTATATATGTGTATGTACAGTTTCATATATTAATACTTTAAAATAATTAATATTATATATTACCATTAAATGATATTGCATGTATATGTATATATTTTATATATTTTCATTTATATATATATATATATTTGTTTGTTTTGCCATGACTGGTAAGCTAGTAGAGGAGAGTGTATATATGACATGTTTTGAACTAGGGCACAATATTCTATGTTCCTAAATTTGAATGGCACTTGCTAATTTGTTTGCTTTCCCCGCCTTTAAGTAGCATTGAAAAGAATTCTGACCCCACAACCAAAGGAATATAAAGCTGAATGCTACTGAAGTGCCAAGAAATAATATCAATGTAAATTAATGATTCTCAACCTTGGCTTCACACTAGAATCACCTGGAGATCTTAAAAAACAAACAAACAAAAAAACTACCCGTGCACAATCTCTGCCCCCAACCAAATTAAATCTGCATCTTGCACATGGAACTCCAACATTGCTGTTTTTTAAATATCCACAACCGCAAATGTTAAGTTTTTTTGACAGGTAAATGCAGGTGAGCACCTTAAAGTTTACTTTATATTTGAGAATTCATACTTGTTCAAGGAGTTGGGTCCAAAAAAGGAAAGGGGATAGCATTTGAACCCAAGCAGTCTAACTCTGGAGCTCCTGCTCCTAAGCATGCTCTACCACCCCTTCAATTAAAACTGTTTCAGTGATAGCAGATCAACTTCCTAGATGTCTCACCATTTACTATGAAATTGAATTCAGTTGAAATGCTCAAGAAACCACATGGCAGCTAGTACCTAGACCTCGCAATATAATCACTGCTTTACAAATAAATCCTAAATTCGCTTTCAAGTCACAGAGGGCCCACAGTCAGCCAGTCTACATAAAAATAGATTAGATATCCTAATTCTGTTTCCTACTTCATCTAGAACAGATTTAAACCTGTACTCGCTGTAATGGAAAGATATCTGTTAGTACTCCGATAATGAAGAGGATGTGAATGTTTGGACAAATTCTGTAACTAATCTGAGGTCATCCAGCAGCATATTTAGGATTTGGTTCTGTATATAATAAAAAAAATACAAGATAGTAATTTGCCACACAACTGCAGTATTTTTTATTGCTGTCACTAGGACTGCAGAACAACTAGTTGTATCAATCCCACCTCTTGCCTTTGCAAGAATGTTTAGCTAAACTCTTATCATTATTAAATTCCTGGTGAACTCAACTGGTCAAAGGCCAGAAGCACCAGAACCAACCATTGTCCTCTAAAAGCAATTACAGTAAGGTGATTAATCAAAATTCGTTTAACTATAAACAGACTATCTGCTTTCCTGTTGCCCACTAGGTCTTCAAGTCCACAGAGCTACGGCAAAATGAAAGAGAGGAGAATATGATCCATTTTGAGGTAGAACAGGAAGGTAGGTGAAGAAACTGCAAACATCTGAAAAGGAGAAACATAGGATGGAAGAAAGAAAATAGATTACCAGTTACAGAATCTAGGTTCAAAGAGAAAAATTCATCTCTCTACCTTCACTAGGCCCACATTTCTAGTTAAGCACAGAGGAAACAGTACATAAGATACTCTGCCTATATCATTTTTTAATTTTACTCTCTATTGTGTTATCACAATATCTGAATACCATTCAAATGCAGTAATAAGGAAGCTTGTACAGGGATTAGCACCTAGTAACTACCTCAAACATGGTTTCTAATTTATCAATGTTAATAATTGAAAAGGTACATTGAACTATTTGGCCTGGACAATTAAGGTACTTACTATAAAACCATTTGGTCGAGATATCCATTTCTTAAAAAGGTATTTCAGGATTCCTAAGATGTAGATACATTATTAAAAAGCCTTAGAACAAGCCAGTAAAATGTAGCAGTTAAATACTAAGGCTCTGGTCCAGAGTCAGACAGATATTGATTAAAAACCAGGGGTTCTCAACCAAGGTTGATCTTGCCCCACCCCCACCCAACATGTGGCGATGTCCAGAAATACTTTTGGTTGGCACAACTGAAGGGAGGGTGGAGATAAAGCTACTGGCATCTAAGGTGTAGAGACCAGGGATGCTGTAGACATCCTACAACGCACAGGACAGTTTCCCACAACAAAGAATTCTCCACCCAGAAATGTCAACAGTGCCAAAGTTAAGAAAGCTTGATAAAAAATTCCACTGTGCTACTTATAAGCTGTGTGACTTTACTCAAGAGACCTATCCTCTCTAAGCCTCAGAGCTTTCTTATCTATAAATTGGGATAATAACAGTACCTACTGGTATGAAAATTGAATGACATCGTTCACTTAACAGGCTCAGCACAGAGCATTCTATAAACATTCTGTTTACTACTGTAATAGTAAAAATTAGTGTACAATTGATGTTTTTGCAGATATTAAAAGTTTAGGACTTTCTCACTCAAAGTCAACATTTCTAAAAGGAAATCACCATGGAATTACAATCACAAAAGATTATTTTTGTGTTAAGTTTCTTTCCTTGTCAATTGAACACAGCAACCCATCTTGGTAAACCAATATCTAATTTGGAAAATTAAGAAATACACAATAATAGGTCAACTTTTCAATAAAGTATAAAGGCAGAGAGTAAAGGCCCAATAATATTAAGTTGACTCCAAATCCATTTTGTATTCTTTGCCCACACTGAAATTCAATACAAGAATTGGAAAACTGACCATATTTCCCCCATTTTGGGAAAATTATTTCTCAGTCAAATGACATATTCTTTAAGAAAACATTTCCCCACACCATCCTGCTTGTTCAAATCATGTTCCATTCTGAAGTTTCACTCCCTCCTTCTGCAGAGTGATCCTAGAAAATCTAAACAAATTGGAAAAGAGAAAAATATTTCATAATTTAAAATTCAGGGCATGTTCCTTTTTTCACATTTTATATCAGTGTTTAAAACTTGTTTTGTTGGATGAATAGAAAACATTTCACTTGGCATGACATGCAATTTCAAAATCTGTATCACTATTATTCTAAAAGTGAAAGTAAACATACTTCTGTGTCACACCTACAAAAGATATATAACCAAAGAAAAGCCTTCCTTATTACTACACATTATGGTCAGTTTAGATGTCATTTCTTCTGAAATTTTCCTTATCTCCCTAAATCAACTTGGATACCACAGCTTTTCCATGTTCAACCACAGAACCTTCTTCCTCTTCTATAGCTGTTACACAGCATTATAATTGTTAGTTATCTGGCTTTTCTACTAAACTCTAAGGCCCATGAAAGTACGGACTATGTCCGCTAACCCCCTGCATTAGCACCATGCTTGGCACATTTGATGTGCTCAATAAGCTTTTCTTTTCATGAATATATGAGTGAAAAATCCAAGAAAAGATATGGGCAAAATAATTTCTTCTACAACTCATCGTTGTTTCTTTTTTATTTAAGGCCTTGAGGTTTTGGGGGTTTTATCCCCCTAAAACTACTTAGGTTGTAGTATAAAATTGATTGCTTTAAATACATTATAAAATTCAATTCTCAGCCTCGCTTCTTCAGGACCTCCCAACCTTGCTCCAGAAACTTGTCTCACACCAGAAATTTCCCTTGTGAGTCTGAGGCACAAAGGAGCTCCCTTCAAGATGTCTGGAGGTGTTGTTTTTTTAAATAAATTCAATACACTTTTGAGCACCTACCAGCATAAAGCTGCTGTTGTAAATGCTATGGGAAACACAAAGATTATTAAGATCTGTCGTTTACCTGCTGGGAAACTCTATTAAGACAAAGGAAAATAGTAAGATAAAGGTATAAAGTATAACAGGAATGTTAGACAGGAGTTATAATTCCAACAGTAAGAATTCATCGAAGGAGGTGGCACTGGGCATAACCTTGAAAGACGGTACTGCACTGGACTTCAAACAGGTGCCTATATGTGGCAATATTACCTCATGCACTTTGAAAAAATGTCAGCAAGCTAGGTCAAGGATCAGGTGCTCGAGTTGAAGAATTTAGGAGCTGATTTAACCCAGGACCTGTCAGTCAACCTTATCAGCAAAAATTTAGAAATCCTGGATTTTAACAAAGTCCCTGAAGAGAGAGAGAACACTAGGCGATCACAATCAGCCGAACCTATCCATTCTCCAGAGTGGTATTTGTTTGTTGGTTTTAAGAGAAACAGGTAACACAAAAATCTACCGCCGCCTTCAGAACAGATTTCTTCAGACAGGTAATCTCTCCAAAGTCAAAAGATAAAAGAGCATTTCAGAAGGGACGGGAGTGCCTGGGAAGTCACAAGGGTCTCCCCCACGTCCTAAGAAGGAATCGGGTGCTGAGAGCACAACATTCCGCCAAGTACTTGGTGTGGCGGAGATCTAGGAGCTCACCTGTTCGTCCTCCTGTATCGAGGCGGCCAGCGGGAGCCCGTCCGCCACTCGGGCGATCATCGTGAGCAACAACATCTTCACAGGTTACAGGGACCCGGCACTGGCCCGCAGGGTTGACTTCTTCCGTCGCTACTACAGTTCTATCTCTACGTTAGTGCCCCAAGATCCAGCTCCTTACGTCTCCACTTCCCGCTGAGGTGGCCGGAAACAAGCTCCAGAGCTTTCCACTACCGGTCCCCAGAATTGGCTTCCTACCGAGAATCACAACTACGGGAACTCTCGTTCCGCAAACTCTCCTTCCACCTTCAGAAACTTCCAAGACCCTGCTTACTTTTCTGGATTTCGGCTTCTAATAAGCCTTGACCCTTGAAGGGATGTGGCACACAAACTGAATCAGAATTTTCTAGTTCTTAAAACTTTATGTTTGGGGAGGGGGCTGGGAAGGAGGGTGGAAGTAAATGGGTACTTAGATAAAGGATGTGTAACAAACAATACAAAACAAAATCAGGCTACATATTTTCTTTTTTTTTTTTCCTTCATTTTATTGATTTGAGAGAGAGAGAGAGAGGGGAGAGAGAGTGAAAGGGAAAGAAAGAGAGAGAAACATGCATCTGTTCCAGTTATCCACGCACCCACTGGGTGACTTTTCTATGTATCCTGACACTGAACCTTCACCTATCTGACATACGCTCCACCCGACTGAGCTACCCAGCCAAGGCTTACATATTTTCATGTTTAATTTTTTAATTTTCTATATGATATATTCTATACATAATATTTTATATATTCATATATTTCTAGGCAGAAATTTTTGTCTTTTTTTTTTTTTGCTTATTGGTTTATGATGCACCACTGGATCCTTGAACATTTTCTGGTAAAAAATAGATATATATGGTATGTGTGAATAACTGATCTTGGGTCACAGAGTTGCCATCGGGAGGAGGCCAGAGTTGTCTCTGCATGAAACTGCCCCGATACTTAGGCCTCAGGAATTCTGGAATCTGAGTTGCTTTTGACTTGATCATCATCTTCTCCTTCACACCCAGAAGTTGCTTTTGAGCTCCTGCCCTTTGGTCCCTTGGGAGATGCAGGACTAGGTAATAGCAAACACTGTGCTTAAATTCTGGAAGGTCCCCAACTCTTTTACACTGAATGAAAAGAGTGGGGGGCGGTGTGTAGAGTAACAAACATTGTCCAGAACTTTAGAATTTATAAAGCTTATGTATAACCTTTGCCTGAAACCTGACAACAGCACTGTGAAATGGGTCAAATACAAGAATCATGGAGTTTGTAAACGTTGTACTGGGCGGGGGTGGGGGGAGGGTGCTGGGGTAGGGAAGGAAAACAGAAGTCTTGAATATCAGAGCTGCCAGCAAATTCTTAACTCTTATCAAAGAAACCCAGTAAAGCACATATCTAAATCAATTTAAAATAAGCTGCTGAAACAGGATAAGACTTTCTATTAGAGCCATAATGTTGCAGAGATTTTACGTGTGAGAAAAAAGGAAGCAATAAAGGTTTGTGTCCATTTATTCTTAAACGGTTCTTGTGTACCTAATTATATGCCGGACACTGAGCTAGGTTTTGAAGATGAATAACAGTCCTAGAAACCTGTGGCCTTCTCTACCCCCGGATCAAACACTGTCGCTTAGAAGAAGAGCCTGTAAGTAAATAGCAGCTCCTGTTCGGATTGCTTAAATGGGAAAAAAAAAAAAAAAAAAAAAAAAAAAAAAAGCGTTTCTCAGCAGGAGGTGAAGCTCTTAGCAGACAAAAATAGCCACTATATTTGGACTGATATCCAGACATAGATATTAGTATTGCCGAACGGGTTAATAAAAAATTGAAATACTTTTTACAGATCGATATACAGCTGTACCCCTGAAAACCGCCTTCGGCCCCGCCTACCACCCACAGCATCATAAGTCTTCCTGTTCTGCGATTCTGCCTCCGCATTCATCCAGGTTAGGTTCTGATTAGTCAGTTTCTATGCCAGTCAGCTGCAAAAGCTCCGCCTTCTAGGTGGCCATTGACCGTCTCCAAGAACGGCCCGGCCTTGATGTTGACGTCCGTCCTTTGGCCACACCCCCAGCCCACCGTCTCTTTTAGCCCTGCCCTCGCTGCAAAGCAGCGCCTCAGGAGGCTGATACTGACAAATTCTGTAGTGGTGGCAATTTTGGATTATCATCCCTGAGTAAACCTTTTTACAGCTCCAGCTCCGTGAAAGCAGGAATTTGTCTTGTTCACTTCTGATTTCTCTCACAGACCTTACCTGTGTCTATACACTCAGTCTGTCCAGACATTGAAGTAAAAAGTAAAGATTTGGGGAGGAAGGAGAAAAGAAAAAAGTGTGTATTTTAAAATAATGTAAAAGCCCCTATTTAAAAGAATTACTACTTTACATAGCCTGCTTCAAATATCCAGGCTGCCTCCTAGAAGCTACCTCATGAAACTATGTCTTTCAAAATGTCTGTTCAGTCTCCCTACTTTGTTAGGAAAGCCAGGCCCAGCTTGGAGCTGGGGATAGTGGGGGGGGGGGGGGCGGTGTTGGGAAGGAAAGTTGGGGTAGCTTTGATAGTATCCAAATATGTTAATTGAAATTAAAAATAATTTTTAACATTTCTTTCTTCTCCTGCTAGCCCCTAAATCTTTTCACAGCAGAAAAAGTCATTTGTTATTCTCCCGTCTAGTATCCTGTACATAGCAAAGCTCAGTTAATGTTTATTGAATAAATGACTGAATGAATGGCATGCTCATGGAGTGAGACAACACTGCATTGGTTATATATGCAGCACAATTCATAATGCTACTGCACCAAGTGAACACATATCCATAACTATTCTCTTCATCAGATTGGTTACTGAAAAAATACCTATTGTTCAAGGGCTATGGGCTGAAGAGAATAGCAGGTACTGGCTTAACAAAGAAACATGATTGCCAGTAGAGGTTACATTTTATCTGGTTCTGTCTCTCTCCCATTACCTCCCAGCCCTCCTCTACACCCATTCCTTTTGCATCCCTCAGGTGCGAATAATAAAAGTTCTGGATGGCGAGTTTCTTTTTTCACCCTGAGTTTCTGCCTACATTGCCTCTCAGACATATAGCCCTGCTTCCTTTCTGTGGAGTCCAAGTGGGTTGAGTTGTTCCAGCAGCGTTACAGTTTCCTGATCTCAGCTGCTGTAGTCTCAGCAACTTCTATAACTGGTTGGCTTCTTCCTCTTCTAGCCCTTCAGCTCCTGCTTCTTTGTTGGACCCTCTCTCTTCTATCCATATGGATCTTTCAGAAATTAGTGAACAACTTTCTCTCTGAGTGATTTTATTTTACAATTTTAGTAGTCAGATCCTTCAGTTATTGCTAGTTTTTGTTAGCCTTCCTTGTTAAAAAAAAAAAAAATATATATATCAGCCTGGCTTACTCAGCTTTACCTGCCAGAAAACTGAATCCAGTAAATCATCAAATGTGACAAAATGAAGTACAGCCTAACTCGTTGCTAATGCTTTCTTATGGTGATTTCCTACCGCCCAAAGACACAATGTTTGTTTATCAGTTGCTTGTGGTTCACCTTCCCTGTCTCCCTAGCCAACCCTCTCGCTCCATCACTACCTGATGTGGGAACTTTTTCTCCCAATTTTGTTAGGGAGTATAATCCTCTGGTTCTGAAATCTGACAGTAAGACCCAAAGTTCTACGCACCATTTCTCTAAGGAGGCCTACCTCAGAGCTATTAGGCAGAGGATAACAAATATCCCCAAAGCAATTCACTTTTTTAAAATCTGCTTTTTATTTATGCAGCCTGTAGCTTCTTGAAAATATTACAATGGCAGGTTTGAGTCAGGGTTTTATGGGATTAAGAAAGCAATCCTTTCTTCCTCTTCTATGTTGAGATCAAATTGGGAAATAGACATATTACCAAATAGAGAAATAATACTAATTTTATTACTGATGAAACTAAGTGGGGAACATGGATTTAGATCTGTGATGACCTAAAGGCCTTGCTAAAATTTTACCCCAGAATTAGGCAGAATCACCCACTGAGCTGGGAAACAGCGAGCCTTCCCCCAAAGAGGCAGGCAGGCTCCTTACTGCATGTTAGAGACCAAACCAGAGTGTGCCTGCACTGCAGCCAGCGTCTTCTCAACAACGCGCACCTATTACTGGGCACAGCGCTACACAGAGGAGGGCCGAGGCCCTGCCAGTGGGCAAAAGTTTCGTGGTTGTGGCAATCCCACAGACTTCCAGCTTTCCTCTCTTGGCAGCCTTTAGCTGGGAAGAAGTTGTTGCAATACAGTTTTTTTTGTGCAGGATGTGACTTTCTTAACTTTTGTATGATACAATGTCTTTCTTTTAAGTCTCCTCATTCTGTGACCCCAGTCATAAACCCCAGTTTATGACAAAGTTATTGCTTCAACAGTAAAATTATTAGTTTTTTATATTACTTTGGGATAGGATGTGTGTTTTTGTTGGTGTCCATCATTTTTGTTGCCACATATGGCAAAACCTCAGCTTAAATTACTGTAATTGAGTTTAGGTTTTTAGCAAGCTTTATGTTGCTACTTAATTTATTTCCAATATGCTCTATGAAAAAAGTTGGGAAATGCTGATTAAAAAAAAACAAACCTGAAAATACCAATAAGATAGAAGCCCTAATTGAACCTCTAAGATGCTTCAAGACTCTGGAAAAGATATCATGTATAATGGATGATATTTGACTGACATCATAAGATCGTAAAATTTATATAATTTTTAAACCACTTTTTTGAAGAGTGATGGAAATTATAGAGGTATTTTATATCCAGATTATTCATATCCAGACTGTATACGAATAGCATTTACCACAAATTGCACCAAAGGCATTTTGTGTTGTTTTTTTTTTAAATAAGTTGGCCTTTGTAACTGTTTAACTTTGTAACTGTTGAAATTTGTCTCAAATGGAATTTTCTGGGTGTTTTGTTTTGGGAACAAAAGGAAGTGCTGGTGGGGACCCAGACTTTTCTTTAAAACACAGAGGTCAACTATGCTGTACACCTGAAACTAATACAAAATAATATTGAATGTAAACTGTAATTGAAAACTAAAATTTTTTTAAAAAGAAGACCACAAAACCCCCCACATGAGTCAAATTACAAATGGGAGAGGGGATATGACTATTAACCCATGAAATAAAAAGGATTATAAGAAAATACTATAAACAGCTGTATCCAACAAAGTAGATA